TTTTCAAAATCATATCCAGTTGCTTGAGTAACTGTTTTTTGGCATAAGATTCCTTTGTTTTAGGATTTATTTGTCTTGATTTATTTACTTCATCACAAGATGTCTGACCATAGGTTGCCCCTTCAACTTGTAAAAGCTGATTTTCAAGGGGGCTCAGCATATACAGGACAAGACATGTTACATTCAGTTAGGAGACAAAAGTGGACAGCATTCAGTGGAAACAAAATTTGATGTGTCAAAACAAAATCATTGTTCATAACTCAAAGTTTTACCTGTTCCAAGGTCAAACTCAATAGAGGTAAAAAATTGAAGTGGAGCGATTTGTTTTTTTTCTGTATACATGTATCTGCATTTTCAGATGCTAAAATTAAAGAAATCAACACCCCCCTGCTGTATGCACTTTGTTTATTTATGAATTGTTGAAACTCTATGTTCCCCACAGATGGAAGTCCTACAAGAGATATGAGGACTTCTGCAGAATAAGAGAAGACGTTGAGGAAAACCTGCCTCTGGCCGTCCCCAGGTTTGGGGCTGCCCTTCTGCACATCAGCAGGTTGGTATACTTTCAAAAACCCACTCTTTAGCCAATCAGAGGACATGATACATACTTGTGCACTTTGTTAGTCCAATTGGGAAGCAGGAAACATTTTGTGAAGGCTCTTGTTCAGTTCTAGTCGCTGATTGGTGTTATGTGCAGATTACTAGATCTGTCCTTGGTGCTGAATTAGGTGTTCACAGCAACAGAACAACAGAATTTTACTTTTGTGTGCAGCAAAATCAGTTGTATTTTACTAAATCATTTTTCCTGTGTTTGTTATAGATTACTTTTGGAGCTGACTGCAATTAATATCCTGCCTGCTTCAACCAAGTAAGTCACACGATATTTGGTTTATGATTTGAAATCGATAAGTGAATGGTGGCATCAGATGACAGAGTGGCTAGGAAAGTAGACACATGATCAAGAGGTCATGGGTTGGATTCTTAGCATTCCTGGCTGGATGTTATGGCACTTAACACGAGTTTCCTCACCCCACCCATGTGTAAAATGGGTACCTGATTTTGGTTGGGGAGGTAACAGGTGGTAGAAGGAGAGGGATGGGCTTTGCCTAAGATGCAGTGGCTCAACAACCCACTGGCCCTATGGTCTCAAGAAGGCTACGGGACTACCTTTACCTTTATTTGTGATATCCACACTTTTTAATGAATTGTGATTCAGATTTAAAGGAGTACTAACCTCCAGAAGGAAGTGCTATTTTCCGATACATTATGCTCCAATGAATACATAACTAGCCGACTTTTTACATAATTTCGCTTGTACGAGTTGAGCGGAGCATGTTTGTAAAGTGATATTAATATCATTTTCCCCCATGCTGAACCACAATTGATACATCCGGGAACTCTGGCTTACGCAATGCTCATACACTTCAGGTCAACATAAACATTTTTCGGCGAAAATGGTAGGAGACAAGCACACTAACAAGCTGATGATTGAGAAATTACTTGCTTTACTTTGCTTGACCTGTGGCTTGGATATTATAATATCAGGATGTCGAATACAGTGGGAGCCAGTTTCATCCTGCGTGTTTTGATTTTCTCAACTTATTTGCATGTAAGTATCGCTTGAACAGATAATTAGATTACGCCACTTTTGGAAAGGATAACTAGATTACGCCGTTTTTTTCATCGTCAATATTTGCGGCATAAATGAGGGGCGATAAGGACACCAAGAAGGGCAATGGTTGGTAAGATACCAAAGAACACAAAACGGTATGAATTTTTCTTATCGCCCCCGAAATGAGGTCTGTAACGTAACTTTTTGTTTAAAACATAGACACTAATGGGGTAGCGCGGTGTATTCTGGGATAGTTTTGAGGGTATTTGGAGAGTTTGTCCTGGATTCGATGCGTTTTAAGACTTGCGCGCAAAATGGACATTTAATTGTATACTGTAAAATAATATGCATTTTTCAATTCCAAAAATAAATGCCTGTCGAAATATAGCACCTCCTTCTGGAGGTTAGTACTCCTTTAACCACCTGTTTCCTTATCAAACCAGCACCTGTTTCACCCTACCTGAGTTTGAGACGGTCATCAAAAAGAAGCGCAGGGAGGCTGAGAAAATCCTCTCCAAGTTCTTTGGGTAAGAAAGATCAATGACTGTAACTGTTTCTGTTAAAGATCTGCCCATATAGTGAAAAATTGGGAAGGCTTGCCTATCAGTGTCACATAAAGATTTTTCTAATGTGTGCACATAACAATCTATATTGCACACTATCTATCATTTTTCATACTTGTAATATTTTTTTGTAGTATGGAGAAATTGACTGCCATTTCCCATGAATTCTAATACAAATTGACCAAAAGAGAGTACTAGACATCATTTCAGAAGACAACAAGAAGTCATGTCTACAATTTGCTTCTATTGTATCTTACAGCTACTCCCAGGCTGTGGTGAACCAGATAGTAAGTGAGGTGTTTGAGCACCTCCAACACTGCGAACAGCAAGTCAAACAAACCAAGACTGTGTAGTAAGTATTGGATCTGGCCATACTGTTTGTTTTTACTATTCTGTAGCACACTGTTGCAATGGTTCTTTTGACACCTTTACCTGTTTGTGCAAAGAAATGGCAGGACATGTACATAATGTAAATATAAATATCAGACAGATTTCCTAATTTGCCCCAAAATTGCATTGGATCCCTGGGCCTTTAACTTTCATAATTCCTCCTCATACTTTAAGAGTAATGCACCTAATTCTTTGTATAGCAGCCTTTGAATTTTTAAGCTTAACCAACCTTTTTTGTGGCTATTCTAAAGCACTAAGGAGTCACTGTATCTGCAAAGACAGAAGAAGGAACAGAGAGTCCAGAACTTCAAGAAAGCCAAGGGAGTGGCAAGGTATATCTGTTTTCCTTAAGTTGACTTTTTTTTTCTCAAAGAATTTGTATTGTTCTGCAAAGGAAGTATCTGTTGAGAAAATCAATCACTCACTAAACTATCTTTTTTTTCAGTCGTCTGGGAAATTTTGTGAAGCTGGTTGACCAAATTTTACTGGCACATATGGTGTCACTGGCAAGGACAAACATTGGGGCCTTCGTCCACAAGACGATGCAGGCAGGGGAAGAGGCTGAGAGGGACGCCCTCTTCAAAGCCAAACTTGTCTTCAACAAAAATGGTATGGAAGACTTTGTTTTACATGCAAAAATGCATTTTGTTAGACATCTTTCTTAGAGCTTCTGACTGGAGTACTGCTTCTCACCACTATATGTAACCAATGTAGGTAGCTCTTTTGTGATGAGAACACAATCCTAAACATGGCTGTGAGTTTGCTTCCCCCCTTGTCTCTCCTCATCTCTGGAATTAACTTTCTTATCCTGGCTGGGTAGAAAGAAAACCCAATTTCATAGGTGTTTCACCAACCTGATGAAATTATTATCGGGATATGCATGAAAAAACATAAAAGAGAATAAACAAAACACATAACTTGTTCCAGATGAGCTGATCCTGTACCCGAGTAAGGAGAAGTTTCAGAACGCAACCTACAGCGCCCTTCTGGGGATTCCTGCTGTCATCTTCCGCTCTGCACACCCCTCAGAGGACGGGGCCTCTACACAGGGCAGTCCAGGCACAGGGTTGGTATTCCGATCTCTCTTTTCTTGTCAAGAAATGTTTCATCGAATGCTCACTTTGTGTGTGGTTGTTTTCCTGACCAATTCATACCAAAGACTGTAAAAAGGATACATAAATTGCTTCTCTCTTTTTTATTCACATGCCCAAGACATTGACCAAACATCCAATACAAACCATGCATTACATTCTGCTGAGTCACTGTTTAAAGCTGTCATTAGATAGCTTTAAACAATGTTTAGAGATAGATGTCCAAGGGTTAGGTGTAACAAGTTGTTCGGTGTAATTTAGCCAGCTGCCGCATCGCCGTGTGCCTGCGAAGCTGGTGTGTTACGCTGAAGGGCGGTTATACCGGCTATACAGATACAGATACAGAGTCAGACATGCTTCTTATTCTTAAGACTAGCAAAAATGAACCTTTGACTTTCACTCAGGTCCCGAGGCAGAGGTGAGTCCAGTCTCAGCTCGCCTGTGAAGTTGAACGTGAGCCAGGAGTCGGCCAGACCCCAGCCTCAGCCCAGTACAGGGTCCAGGCGGGACCAGTCGTCCATGCAGACTTCACGCAGTGGTGCTGTCACTGGCAGTACCAGTAACTACACACTCGCAGATCCAACGTTAGAAAGACCTGGTAAGGCTTAAGAGTTTGTCTTTTTTTCTGTTATTGCTTTTTACATGTCATTGAGAGAAAGACCTGCTAATGCAGGGCTGGAAATACACCTTGCATATGCAGGTTAGTGCAGGTAAAATTGGAGCTGTGCAGTTATTTCAGGTGTCTACTTGGTACATGCATGGAGCCAACAATTCAGCACCAAGGACAGGTCCTGTTATACCAAAGTCCCATTGAGGTTCTAAAACACTAAAGTCTTAGTCTACAGCACATCTTTCTAAAGGAAAATATTGAAGGATATGGTGATTGTGGTACATTTAACTTATGGTTCAGCACCAAGGACAGAGCCTGTTACTTTTGAGATCATTTGAAAATAGAGTCTGTTCTGTTGCTGTGAATACCTAATTCAGCACCAAGGACAGATAAATTATCTGCATGTACGTAACACCAATTCTTCTACTATAAAATAAACCTCAAATAAACAACATTTTGTTTCACATTCCAGCCATGAAGACGAAGGATGAGGACAGGATGGGCGTGGCGACCCCTGACCTGGTTGTGGGAGCGCAGACCCCCCGCGGCCTGACTGTGGGAGGGCAGGGGTTCATGGGGCAGTACAGTCCTCTGTCCAAGGGCAGTCTAGAGACAAAACTCGCCACAGAGTAAGTAACACCTTCAAATAATTTGACATTTGGTGATCCTACATGTATTGCATTCTGTCCTTGTAATTGTTGACTTTTGTGTAATTAATGTATTAAAACATTTTCCAATGAATAAATTCATAACTTCAAAGCCATGGATGACCGTGAGCCATTCTTATTGGTACATGAACTTTCCTTATGAAATAACATTATGTCAGCCATGTTTATGACCTTGACCCCTGTACCCTTGACAGTGAGGTGGTCAGCGCGGATGTCCAGCTCCATGAGGACATGATGCAGTCAGCACTGGCAGAGATTGACAGCTTCTGTATCGAGCACGTCTGGACCAAACCCATGCACAAGTACGCACGGGAATGGAGCAGGAGTGTCCTCAAAACATTCCATGGCCAGGAGGCCTTTGATATTGAGGTGTGCCCCTTTGATTTATTGAGTAAAACAATGACTGTTATGTTTGATGTGAGAAGTATTGACTATTTCTCTCAGTTCATTTTAGTGATGCGGATGTCACTCCAAACGTCCGGAGACCATAATTTGTACAGTAGGAAAGTTTAAATTGTCTTCCAACAATCTGTGTTGTGTTTCTCATTTTCTTGAGAAATAAACTGTATTTTTTTAGTTCTTTTCACTTCCGTTTTTCAGCAGCTACTGTCTTTACTTCCTCCCAGGGGATGTTTGCCCTTCTCTGATCTTCTTGGAAGGTCCTCTGCCATGGGTTTCTTTGGCCTTCCCCTCTTCCTTTTACTGTTTTGGGGAACCAGGTGACGATGTATCTAATATAATAAAATTTATTGCAGTGAAATGTGAACAAGAACATCAAAAGCCTCTTCTTTTTTCACAGGTCTTTCTTTCCAGCATAACCATAAGATTCTTGTTAAGACCTCTTTCATACATTTATTATCAAAAAATGCTTCTTGTCTTATATTAAGACATACCAATTTATTGCAGTAAAATATGAACAAATGTAACATACCCTGGTGTAAGCACATCACAAACAAACAGTTATATGGAACACTCCCAAACATCACCACGGTAGTGAAAAGACGTCGTCTTAGCTTCACGGGGCACGTGACTTGTGGTAGAGAACCAGCGGGACGACTCCTACTTTGGTCTCCAGATGCAAAAAGGAGAATTGGTCGTCCATGCACAACTCATTGAGTCTGAAACTGGTCTGCAAGGATCGGAACTTCTGTCCGCAATGACTGACAGACTGTACTGGAGACAAAACTTTACTAGCTGCACCTCATATATATAGAGGAAGAATGAAGAAGAAGAAGAAGTGAACAAATGTAAACTTCAAAAGCCTCTTCTTTTTTCACAGGAAAAACTGAACGAGATCAAGAACTGGATTGAGCGGCTCAAAGATGTGGAGAAGTCCGTGCGGACGTCAGACGGGCTGTTTGAGGTAGACTGTAGCGTCCTGCAGCAAGACCTGGTCCCCGCGCTCAGTAACATCTTCAAACAACTCATCCAACTGGTCGCAGATGACGCCAAGAACCTCTCTAGTAACTTTGTGGAGGAGATTAAGAAACTCAGCAAGGTATTTGATCCACGGAATACAATTCCTTAAACTTGTCATTAGCATTTTAAGATAGATCATTAGCATTTCAAGATAGATTATATATTACCTATCTATTTTACTATGCTACTTGTTGTTACCTATTTGCCATACAATATACCCTGTACAATTGTCTTGCAATAAAGTTCTTCTATATTATCTTATGTGAAGCTGGACACATGGTATTCATAAAATTATTCTGTTCTAAACTAACAAGCATTTCAAAGTGTATTGTTACTACTAAGGGTAGTATTAGACACATCTAACAGAAATTTCATAAACTAGTCAATGTGAAAAATATACATATATGGTAAAATGTATTTTCTTTGTTCAGACCCTGAAAGACCAAAACACATCAGTGGACCAGTTTGCAGTGTTTGCGGGACAAGTGAAGGAATATCGGAACAGAACACAACAGTTACAGGAGAAGGTCTCCTACATCAAGTCTCTGTATGAGGTAAGGCACTGGGATTTACTGTTTCATTTTTTGTAGTGTTTGGTTTTAGCTACTCTTCATTTAATGCAGATTTGTAAGCTAACGTGATCTACCACTTCAGTTGCACTCTGGCCTGAAATGAAGTGAATTAATGAATTACCATTAAGGCAGAGCAGTAGTTGGTCAGACAGGATCATTTGAAGGTAAACATTATGCATTTTCTTCGCAAATGTTACCTTTCTAGTTGTAAGTAATGTTCTTACAATGAAGCTATCCCTGTTTCCTCCCCACAGGTGATTCGAATGAGTTACCGTTCCTTGAACCCAGACGAGGAGAAGCTGGAAGAACGAGTGAGGACCACCTGGGAGAGTTTCCTGGTGCAGCTGCAGGAGGCACATGACTTTGTCCACACACAGACTCCCGTCATGCTGGAGGAACTGGACCAGACGTACCAGGTATGGCCTAGGGGTTTGGGGTTCTATTCCCAGTCATGCATATTTTATTTACTGACTTTTAAAATGTTACCAAATGTATCAGGTATAGCCTAGGGGTTTGGGGTTCTGTTCCCAATGGCACATATTCTGACTTTTAAAATGTAACCAAACGTACCAGGTATGGCCTAGGGGTGAGGGTTCTGTTCCCAGTTGTGCATATTATATATACATTTGTACTGTACAATGGCATGATTTGCAGTGGTGGGATTTTCACAGTTTCTGCAGTGACCTGTCCAACAGAACTTCATGATGCTGCTAAATATGATTTCCCAATGTTTGAGCAATGTTGTGAATAATAAACAATGTATAATATAATGTACAACAGAATCAATGCAATATCTTGCTATTTTGGAGTGACCCTTGGTTAAGGGTTCTATTTTCCCAATATTAAGATGAATGGATTATTTAGCCTATTATATAGCTTGCTACATGTTGGGTGAAGTATACTCAGTACAACAGTCACTATTGTTTCACTATTCATTTTAAGTACAGAAGTACGATTGCATTCATAGTGAATTATACTATGCAGCTAATATAGCATGTAGGTGCCACGTAGCATAGTTAATGTACATCCCTACTGTTGCACAATGAATACTAACACTATTCGTTTTAACTAGAAAAATGAAAATCCATTCATAGTGAATTTTACTATGCAGCTACCTATAGGAGCCACCTAGCATAGTAAATGTACATCCTTGCTACTAGACGTAATAACTACATGTAACTTTCAAATCCTCCATGCAATCCTCTCTCTTCTCTCTGTCTTCTATACAGCTGGAAGGTTAGTTATTAGACAGGGTGATATATCACTTAACTGGGTGATGGAATGGTGCATCTACAATGTAATTTTCTCAGCTTGACATTATGGTGATAGTGCATTATGTAGTTTAGCAAAGATTGTACTTCATTCATTTTTGCTTTGTTGGTCATTTTGATGTGACTGGTATTTGGTATGAATCTTGCATGCATGCAAAATATAATGACAATGACAAGTACTATATCTTTTTTGGTTGAGGTGAGTTGGTTTGTACATGTACATCTGGGTGCTTGTATCATCAGGGGGACTGGTGCATGTGTATGATTTATGAATGTGTATGATTGTCTTTTCCACTGATGCATGGTTTTCATACCTCTTTTCTTGTTATCATTTTTTCCATGATGAGCATGCATTTTGCATGCCTATTCTTGGTGTAAAAAAATATGCAAATTATTAATATGTTGTGATGTTTTCAATAGACTGGCCCCATAGCCCTGCCCATCTCCATCAAAACATAAAAATACAAAATAAAAACATAGAAATGCAAATATTTGACAGATGTGCAGCTACTCTACTCTCTCATTGGTCAAACTGTTAATAGCCAAACTATTGATTGCATCATTGGTTGAATCGCTAATTGTGATTGACAGTCAGGATCAGTCTATTGATAACATGTTGTACAAATTGATAACATGATATCATGTCTGTAACTGTGCATGCACATGTATACTTACCACATCGCTGCCTGTCCCAGACCCTACATGAGGAGGCTCTGATGATCAGTCGGCAGGCTACCAGCGGCCAGTTCCTGGACCCTTCCAAACATGCACCTACTATCCTGGTGGACATGCGACATGTGAGTGCTGCTTCTGACTTTTTGTTTTTGTTTTGTCTATATAGTTGTGTCATGTAATTTCATGGTCTTACTTTTAAATTTGTAAGATCAATAAAATTTAGAAGGTTACCATCATTTATATTATTTCTGCAAAGGTGATTGAATGAATAAAAAGTTAAAGTTGAAGGCTACACAATTGAATTTGAAATGACTATCACAAATGAACTGCTGTTTAAACATTTCTAGAAGAATGATAATCAAGTGGCCTCTTTTGTCCTTTACTGTCACATCATGTTACAAAAAATTATGGCTCATGCAATGTTTGTGTTAGAGTTCATTCTTTTGCTCCTGTTCTGAAACAAGCCAGTTACAACAGTTAAAAAATTTTTCTTATCAAATAAGTCTTTTCAGGTATAAAAATCAAGATTGTTTTTGGCATTTAAGAGGAAATAAAGAGTTTGATTTAGACTCTTCTGGTCATTGTCAAACTTTGGTTTCTTGTCGCAGCTGGCAGAGAAATTCAGCGCGGTTCAGCACAAGATGGAGGAGATCAGCCGGTGGCGGGAGATGATCACAGGAACCGGTTACGACCTGTCGGCGCTGGAGTTCATGGTCGGACAGATGGACGTCAGGCGGGAACTCTGGAAGTACGTGGAGGTCGCGACCTACCACATCAAGGACTGGAAACAACAACTCTTCAGGAAGGTATGTATTAGTTCTGCATACCTTACTGTAACATCAGGAACTGGTATCAGTAACAATCAACATCAAGGACTGGAAACAATATGAATGTGAAGACCTTATGCCAATAACACAATGTTTTTGAAGGCAAACAAGAACGTTATGATGGTTGTAGTACATGTACATGTAACCAATGGTTCAGCACCAAGGACAGGTCCTGTCATTCTGAAGTCTTTTGGGCTTCAATGATACTGAAGACTTTTGGCCAGTAACACTTTTGTTTCAAGGACAAAAACAACATTCTGGTGACGGTAACACATGTAACCAATGGCTCAGCACCAAGGACAGAGCTTGTGATATTGAAGTCTTATAACTTTTAGCCTGTAACACTTCTGTTTCAAGGACAAGAACAACATTCTGGTGATTGTGAGATATGTAACCAATGGTTCAGCACCAAGGACAGGTCCAATCATACTTCAGTCTTATTAGGCTAATGAACACGGAGCAGTTTAACCATTAAGCAACATATTTTCCAGATGAATGTGAAGAAGGCGATGGGAAAGCTGACGGAGTGGCAGACGGCTGCGATGATGATGGCGGATGAGGTACCACAGGGAGACATGGTCCTGGCACACTGGGTCAACATGATGCAGGACTTCAAACAGAACCTCCCACTGCTCGCCAAGCTGGGCTCAGACGCTCTCAAGGTTAGGGCTTCTTCTCATTTATTTATGTTTACAGAAGGAAAACATGTTGTTTTTGCTCTGTTTCTTCTTCTTCCATTCCAAACACTGACCTGGTCGATGACCTTAACCAGACCATCTGTCACCATGGTAACTGGTGTTGGGTTATATAATGTTGCAATTTTATAGTAGAAGGGATTTAGACTCTTGTCACCATATATACGAATGTGTTTGAGTTAGAATTAACAGAGCAGACCATATGTGAAGGTCTTCTAGTCTTATTGATTTTGATTTTTTTTCCCCATCCAGCACCGTCACTGGAAGCAGCTGTATGTAGGAATGGGAAAAGACCCCAGTGAGATGGGCTGGTCCATGACTGTGGGGGATCTCATCGACCTGGACCTGCCTAAATACAGTCAGCTCATCAACCAGGTAAACTCACAACCCTGTTACTTCTCATGTGTTGACAGCCACTCACAAAAGTATGGTGAGTCTACATTGCCAGTAGCCCTTTTGTTTCCAAGCTTTTCTAATTCTCATATAGTTCACTGGTACATACACACTGCAGTCAGTACCTGTAACATGCGTCAAGACAAGTTGGCAGGGTAATTGAAGATGGCAGTGACACTAGCCATCTGTCCTTAGAGACATCTGTCCATTGCCACATCCCTCCCTACACATGATTCAGCTGTAACAACTCAAACCCTCAGCAACTGTGAGCCATTGATTGACCGCTGAGTTTATGAACTACAACTGTAAAGACTTTTTCCTTAATTTTCATTAAGTAAAATAAAAGTAATCATTGACTTTTTCTTTGTTTTGTTCAGATTTTTACAGCTGCCACCTCCGAGTTTTCCCTGGAGCAGTCCCTGGGTAAGCTGAGGAGGATGTGGGAGGAAAAGGAGTTCAAACTGGCCAAGTACATCCGGGAGCTTCCTGTCAGGAGAGGTTAGGGTTCCTGGCTAAGGACATGTTTCATTTTTCTTTAGTTTTCAGTTGTTCTTATATCAACTTTCTTCAGAAATGATGTTGATTCGCTTACTCTGAGCATCTGACTTTATTTTGGGACATGTGACTCAAGTAATGAATTGTAATTGCCTGGTAACTATTATTTGCCTCCATCTTGGTTGAGTTGGCTCTAATGTAGATAGCTTCTTTTACTCAACATCACTACAGAAGAAGGTTGATTTAAGAGTGACTGAAAAATCAAGGTGAGCTACTTTTGGATGTGTTGCATGAAATCATCAAATTTCATCATTAAATGTACCAGCACAGATGAGCTTCCATGCTTATACACCTTGTGATGTATGAAGCTGATTCAAATCATTTTTCTCCACAGAAAAGAAGCGTACGGGTAGTCCAGTGGCTAGACTCCAGGCGGCCAAATCTAGGAGCCGGACCAGGATAGTCACAGAAGAGACGTACATTCTGATTGGTACAGATGAGCTGAGATACCAACTGGAGGTGAGACATGAGCCCTGATTTGTCAGAATCAGGTTTTGTTTGGTGTGGTTGTATAAAGACTTAGTGTTCCTTGCAGGTTAATATTTTCGAATTTTTGTTCACCTAATCTACACGTACACTGGTCCATATGCTAAAATTATACATGTTGGTGTGTGGATTTTCATGTTAAACACTGTGAAGTATATCAATATCAATGGTTTCTGAATAGTTTTTAGTATGATCCATTCTTCCTGAATTCTGAGTGGTGCCGGTAAAATTTAGCCTGGGCGCCATCTGATTTTTCAACCCCGAAAAAATCTTTCAGGATTGCAGTTACAAATCGCATGGCACCCAGGCTAGGTAAAATTTTCTTGGTGGAGGTAATTTTCAATATCTGCCCCAGAAAGAAGAATTTTGAGCCCCGGGGATGAAGTCTGCCATGATCTCTGATTGCCATGTTTGGTACTTGACCTTGTCAGGACACGGAGGTGACCCTGCAGGCCATGTTGGCGTCCCCACACATCGCAGACCTGCGCTCCCAAGCAGAGGTGTGGAGGGTCACGCTGCAGCAGGTGGACGACATCATTCACCTCTGGACCGAGTGCCAGACCAAGGTCAGAGAAATGGTCTTTTGCACACTTTTCTATTTTCTGCTATTGCACCTTTTGCATTTTTCTACCAATAAATCAATCTTGTACAAATGTGTAGCTGGGAAATCGTGAAGACTGTTAAGTGCTTATGCACTAACTTTATGTTGTCTATGTTATCCACAGTGGTTGTTCCTGAGCAAGTCCTTTGCTGATATCGACCTGGTGCTGCAGCTGCCAGATGAAGCAGCCATGTTTTCTGAAGTAGACAAGAAGTATAAGGTATGTATGCTGTGTAGATGTATCAAGCTGAACATCATGCACACAATCAAAATACCTGTCCTTGGTGCTGAACACCACCCACACACATGCAAACACACCTGTCCTTGGTGCTGAACACAATTCACAGTAAGACAAACATAAAGTTTAACTTTTTACTGCAAACATACCTGGCCCTGGTGCTGAACACCATCCACACACACACACATACAAACATACCTGCCCTTGGGGCTGAACACCACCCACACACACATGTAAACATACCTGTCCTTGGTACTGAACACCATCCACACAAAGACAAACATGCCTGTCCTTGGTTCTGAACACCATCCACACACATGCAAACATACCTGCCCTTGGTGCTGAACACCATCCACACACAGAAAAACACACCTGCCTTTGGTACTGAACACCATCCACACACAGAAAAACACACCTGTCTTTGGTACTGAACACCATCCACACACAGGCAAACATACCTGTCCTTGGTGCTGAACACCATCCACACACAGGCAAACATGCCTGTCCCTGGTGCTGAACACCCTCCACATACAAACATGCCTGCCCTTGGTGCTGAACACCAGCCACACACTGAAAAACACACCTGCCTTTGGTACTGAACACCATCCACACACAGGCAAACATACCTGTCCTTGGTGCTGAACACCATCCACACACATGCAAGCATACCTGCCCTTGGTGCTGAACACCATCCACACACAGGCAAACATACCTGTCCTTGGTGCTGAACACCATCCACACACACACACACACACACACACATGTAAACATACCTGTCCTTGGTGCTGTACACCATCCACACACATGTAAACATACCTGACCTTGGTGCTGAACACCATCCACACACAGACAAACCTGCCTGTCCTTGGTGCTGAACACCATCCACACACATGAAAACATGCCTGTCCTTAGTGACTAATCTCTTTTTGATGTTTGTTCTCAGGCCTTTATGCAGGATGTAGTGGAGGATCCTAAGATGTTGTCTGTCCTGAGTAAGAGGCGAGGGCAGAAGGGTTGGAGGGAGCTTCAGGGGGAGGCGCTGAGACAGCTTCTCAAGTGGTGCATCGAGGAACAGGAGAAAATCATCAAGAAACTGGACAACAAACTCATGGTGAGGACAGGTGTTACTTGTGTGAAGTATCAAGTAATGTGTATTATATGTTCCAGAAATGTATATTGTATGTGCTAAGTTTAGGTAATGTGTATGAAATGTGAAAAGTTTACATAATGTGGATAACATTTGCTAAGTTTAGGTAAATGTATATTATGATATGTGCTAAGCCTAGATATTGTGTTTTAGCTACTCAGTATTAATGAGTATTATATGTAACATTATTTTTATACCTTTTTATGTTATTGTTTCTGTGCTTTACCTTGTAATTAGATTAGCCTCTGGGCATGAGCTTACAAATAAAGTTCGATCATTAAAAGAATAACAATATTTTCATTTTTCCCCATCTCAGGCGACGCGAAATGAGTTCCCACGGCTTCACTTCCTCAGCAACTCGGAGATCGTGGAACTGCTGTCCCTGTCCCGCGACCCTCGAACTATGACCTCCTTTGTCAAGAAGTGCTTCCATGGCATCAGGGCGCTCAACTTTGCCCTCCCTGCAGAGGTCAATCACACCACTACTGCACTTGACCTTGACCTTCATGGTAAGGAAATTAACACAATTGAGCTCATACTTTACACCTTAGACATAGAGTGATACTAATGATTGTAAGTTCACCATAATATATATTATGTAATTAAGATTAGGAGGAGCAATCTTGTCTTACTTCCTGCGGGGCCCATATATATATGGGTTGTACATACAGTACCATCTATATAGTGCCCTGTATATGTGTGATTTGGGGGTGTTTCTTGTGCAACGCATCACACCGCACCAAAACGCAACGAATGCGAAAGTAACTACGCCGCCGCAGGGCAAAAAAAGTCAAGGGTCTGTAACCTGACTAAGACATGAAATTATTTGAAAATATTGTGTAAAAATTGCCAGCAGGACAAGGGTTAAAATATAAGATCTACTGTTGGTTTTTGACTTGTGTTGTAAATTATAGACAAGTTTAAATGAGTTTGCAAGTCACCAAATGGCTTGCATCATCTGTTGATCCCTGTCTTCTGAGGGTTAGACATGCTCGCACACTGATGCTGAGGCTTCATAGCAGCCCACCACTTTCCTCTATCCTGTGGGTTGATGTTATGTACATGTGTGTAAGTTAAGCTTGTGAAAGTTCTCCCTTATGTTGTCCATCCATCTCTTCTTTGGATGACCTCATGGGTTACTTTTTATTTTTGACTGAATTCATAAAGAACTACTTTTTTTCCACAGCGGAGGTCCTGCAAGCTACTGCAATAAAGGGGGAGTTTTGGACTTGTGTTGAAAACTATAGATGAGTTAACATGAGTTTGCAAGTTTACATAAGGCCAGGTATGCAACTAGTACTACTAGCAGGTCAAGTCTGACTGAAAAATATTCACAAAGTACTACTTTTCTTTTGCAGCGGAGGTCCTGCAAGCTACTGCGATAAAGGGTGAGTCAGGCGAGGTGGTTGACCTGGTCCACAGGGTGGAGGCTAACACACAGACCACCCAGTGGCTGCTGGTGGTGGAACAGACCATGAGGAACACGGTGGGCACATCGCTGCAGGCATGCCTGGAGGCCAGGCTTCGGAAAAGTAAGACTTTTTGTAGTATATTTTACCACATGTACCACAGTATATAGTTGTGGTGCATTTGGGCTTTGCTTTGTTATGTTTAAGAGGAAAACTGGCAATATTCTTCTCATGTACAGGTGTAAAAAAGGCCATTTTTTAAATGTTATAATTGGTGTACGTTGCTAAAAGCACAAATCAGTCAAAAGTAAGGCTGGCTTACTTTAGAAGTATAAAGTGCTTATGACACATGTTGCTGATGATAAGTTTCAGAATCTTCATTTCATTTTATTTCTATGGCTGTTTGTATGAAGAGCTTTTGTTAAAAAAGAAATGCCCTGTCATATTTTGAGTATGAATGAACTCCCTTTCCCTGTGTGCAGCTCCCATGACCACCCAGACCTGGGTGAGACTGTTCCCCAGCCAGTGTGTGGTGCTGGCCGAGGCTGTACTCTGGGCACGCGACGTCAGCTCAGCCCTGCGGAACTCAGACAGACAGCGGCTCATGGACCTGAAGGCAAGCCTCAGCTCCAGCCTAGAGGACAGACTGGGGATCCTACGGGAGCTGTACAGGGACCAGAGCATCAGGAAAACTCACATCACACTCGGTAAGTGGTTACATGTAGACATCAATCTCGGTAAGTAGTTATACATGTATATGTATATGAAGCATCAGGAATACTCACTTCAAACATGTTAAGGAGTTAACAGCGTATTGACAGGCATTATCAAGACCGGATCATCAGGAAAACACACTCTACCCTCAGTGCACGTGGCTAAGGAATTGATAAAAAGACTTGCATTCAAGCATCATCAAGCTACATTTAGACCTGGTCCACAGCATCAGAAAAACACACATCACATTTGGTACATGTGATTTAAATGAGAATGTCACAGCTTTTGCGCAAGAAATTCATGCCTTATGATTGCATTTCGCACAAACTTTTTATCATGATTTGCTGTATTGTATGAATGTACCATAATGCTGTGGGAAGGATTTTAACTTCCAGTAACTCACTTGTTTATCTGACCTTTCTCACACTCAGGCAACCTTGTCAACCAGGCAGTTCACCAGAGGGACATTATCAGCATGCTGTTGGAGGCCAAGGCCCTGACAGAGAACTGTTTTGATTGGCAGAAAGTCATGAAGTACAGCATGGACATCAAACCTGTCCCTAAATCCACTGTTCACAAATGGAGAGAAACAAGTCATGTGAGACAATATGTTTTATGTTTACCTTCACAGAATGAAAACATGACTGGATATTATTTTTGCTATGTTTCTTCTTCTTCTTCTTCAAACATATAAGGTCAATGACCTGGACCAGATGTCTGTCACCATGGTGACTGGTGCTGTAGTAGACACCCTGTGGTGTAAATTTTTGTGGTGTGAAATATTTTGTGAATGTGTTTGAGTAAGAATAAACAGAGCAGTAGTTTGTTAGGTAAGACCATGTGAAGGTTAACATTAACAAAATTTTGGGTTCTCAGCATGCAAAAGCAACAAACAAATTGCATGTGATATCATACATAATGTATATTTCACTGTGCCTTCAAAAGATTTGTTCTACTAGAATTTTTATATTTAATTTAGTTTAAACAAAGTGTAGTCTGATTTTAATTTACTGTTCCTAGGTTGAAGACACCTGTGAGCCTGAAAGGATACGTCAGGCATTAGATGTCAGACAAGGGTTTGAGTTTGGCCCCTGCCTGGTCAACCAGCTGAACTGGTCACTTCCCTACGACTACGAGTACCTGGGTCCAGTCAACCGACTGATTCTTACTCCACTGACTGACAGGTTAGGGTTTTGTGATATGGTTCGTCTCAGATGTTGTTGTGGATGAATTTTTATCATTCAATACATCCTATCCTAAAGATAAATTCAATTACAATATAGGAGGAGATAGATATTAAAGTGTAAGAATAGGTAAATATATTACAGAATGTTTAGACCTTAAAAACAGAAGTGCAAATTACACGTTAAACTCAACATATCGATTTATCCTTACATGATGACATATATGTAATCTGTATGTAAGTTCATTTGAATCCACTTGTGTTTTATGTATAGTTGTAGCAGACCTTACAAAGATGTACTTTTACACCTTATAAAGATTTGTCTTTGATGACAACAAGAGTCATTCTACAAGTAGTACGAAAAGCAAGTTATTGACAAGGGCATTCCTGATTTGTATGTTTAAAATCATAACAGGTGCCTCCTGTCGCTGAGTGGATCGGTCCAGTCGTACGGCTGTGGTGCAGTGATGGGGCCAGAGGGAGTGGGGAAGTCAGAGACTGTGGCGGAACTGGCACGAGCCATGGGGAGGAACTACATCACATTCAACTGCACGCATCAGACAGGGTAGGAGACTTGATTTTGATGTCTTGATTTTCTTATATTATGTATTATTATAGTACTTTGTAACCAGTTCACATGTTATCTTTATTTCAGGTCTTGTATTTATTGTTACAGTAGATTTCTTATTTCATGTTTGTCTCCACGTTTGTATATGTGGGTTATCTAATACCAGTTACCACTACCTTGATAACCTGTGTCTTGACCTGTTGTTATTGTCAATAAAGAAAGAAAAGAAAGAAAGAGACTGTCAAAGTGATCCCAAACTAATCTAGCTCAAATGACACAGTCAAGGATTCATCAGAGGTATGACGGCTGAGACTATCAATTTACCGGTTTTGACTTTTTCTTAGAAAATCTTCATCAGAAAATCTAACTCAATGAACTCAAGCCTATGACAGTTGAGATACTCTCCCACTGGTTGTGACAGAAAGAGAGATATTCAGCATTCATTGTACTGGGGGCATTCCCCCAGCTCTTTTCAACAAGTACAATGATCAGTGAGTGGATCACCATACATTATCAGTGCTACTATATTTGTCTGTGGGATTGGAAGAATCATCAAGGATTATGGGAAAGTATGCAGAGGTTGCCACTTCGTATTGTTTTATCTGTCATTTCTAATGTGGCTAGACAAACCTTCCATTGCAAAACAATGGGTTGTATCAGAACCAAAAAGTAAGCAGAAGTTGAATTTTATTTGTTATTGTTTAATTTAGTTTTATTAATTTTGTTTTTATCACTGATATCTGTATTGTACATGTTTTGTTGTGACCTGTATCTAGCCCAGTGTGGCCAAAATGTGCAATAATGGTCTTCATTCCCTCTCCCCAGGATTTCAGCCCTGACGCAGCACCTGGTTGGCGGGGTCCAGTCAGGTGCGTGGGTGTGTCTGGACGATGCCGGCCACCTGTCGACAGGTGTCATGTCCGTCCTGTCACACCACCTGGACCATCTCAGGAACGCATACAGGTGGGGAGCAGAGAACTTTATTTAGTATGAAAGTTTATCTGAGTTGGTAATTACTGTCCTCCAACTCCAAAAAGAAATTGACTCACCAGAATTTCTGGCCAAATCTCTTGGTCTTCATCAGCTATCTGACCCAAGTGCTGTAGACATGTGATTTTTTTTGCTGCTCTGATTATGTAAGAAGTAATTTGATAATTTCTGCACCTATTATGTGCTACATGTATGTAACAGTAAAAATTATTCAATTGATATTTTGAAGTTGTAGACTTGTAAACATTAATGGAGCTAGGGACCAGTGACCTCTGGATACTTTGTTCTATTGCTTAAACACAATGTTCTGATCTTCATCTTGTTCAATATTTTTTCCCTTTTCAATTTTGTGTAGGATTCTGGCAGCATCCTCAGACAGTCAGTACACCATCAGGAGTTCACAGACAGCTCGTAAAAGAAGGAAGACTGTGACATCCTTAGCATCTTTCTCACCAAAAGATCCTGAAGACAGTTGGCAAGCTCAAGACACAGGCCAACACAGGAGACATTCCTTATTTGGCACTGACCAGAAAGGTAACATTCCTTACTTTTAACCAGGTCCTAAATATACATGTAGTACCGGTAAGTGTTGTTTTTCCTTTGTATCTTGAACTTAATTTGCAATGTATAACCAATAAAGCATGCCTTAAGATGTAAAGCACAGACTTGTATGTTAGAAGCACATTCAAGCCGTATAAGATTGGAGATTGGTGACTTTCCCAACAGCATACCATTTGGACCTGCAAGGGATTTGAACCAAACCCATTTAGAGTCTCATAATACAATATCTTAACATTACATATAAGAACATGTCTTCTACCAAATTTTTTTTAACAGAGATGTCTTCAGCACAGTCTACCCTTCCACTGGACCTCCAAGGCTTTACAAAATCCTGGCAGGCAACCTCAGCGTTTAGTTACGAACCTCGGACACTGGGACTGGTGACGTACAACAACAGCCTGATGAACGCCAACGCCAACTTCTCCCCCTTCCTCACCCTCAACACGAGAGACCAGTCATTCCAGACCATACCAGAAACACTGAGGTCTGCATACAGGCCTGTCACTCTCATTGTACCAGACAGGTGAGCTGTTGGTAGATATTAGATTGCTTGATTTGCAGTTGATATTTCTTGATGTATATTTCCTTTTTCTCTTTTGCAGTACACATGCATACATAAATACATTACATACATGTTTTTTTTTTCTTTTAAAACTTAACTATGATTCATATATACAGCCGTTCTTATTGTGTCGTAAGAAAGGATTTGATAATTTCTGAATCTTTTATGTGGTATGTAACAGTGACAGTTATTTCATGTTTTGAAAAATTTGAAATAGTTCAAATCCAATTAAAATCAAAATTGTATTCAATTTTTTAAACATGCAATGAAGTCTCTGTGTAAGATATTTTCTTGAAGTTATTGATGAACAAAGATCTCTCTAACTGAATTACCATGATATCTTTGTGCAGGAAACTGGTGGTTCAGTCCATTCTGCTGTGTGGGGGGTTCCAGGGTCACCGACTCCTTGCCAGGAAGCTTGAGACATTTCTGCAGCTGCTGGAGAAACAGCTGCTGTCTGTGGAGACACCTGCAGTCAGTCTGCACACTGTTAAGGTTGGTTACAAAATAATGTGACAGTCTACTGCAAGTATTCTGTAAAAGGTCAAAACCCGTCATGTCATCCTCAGTTTATGTTGTGTACTTTATCTTGTGGGGTTGGCAGCAGTACGTCGGCTAGTAGTACTGGTCTTCACACCGCACCTCCAGGCGGCCCTATCCAGCAGGTTTACACTGACACACTCCATCTATTTTTTTTAGGTCTTCCTTAACCTCTGCTGCTAGGCAGCTGCAGTTCAATGATGACTGTTATTAATACAGCCACTGGCACATTTACAAATCTTACACATTTACAAATCTCTCACCATTTGCCTCTGTCCTGGGTTCTTGGGCACAGCAAATTTCAACACCCTTACAGGTGTGCAATTACAAATGTATTTGTATTGTCGTCCACAGGTGATGCTGGCACTTGCCCAGCAGGAGCTCCAGACCAGGTGGCTGCAGCTCAGCAGCAGCGGCTCCGCGGAACGGGAGTCTGTTCTCCGGCCAAACTCCGCAGAGATGGAGGAGATGGCCCTGGTGCGAGGTGTCTCCTCCACTCTCATCCCTACACTGCAGAATCCTGGTGAGCACAGCAGAATTGAGTATGGATATCGACTTTGATATTCATGCTTAACTATGCTCTTGTCTTGTTTAGTACCGTAATGTATATACTGTGACAGTCGTATTGTCACATGGCCCTGGTGCGAGGCATATCCTCCACTCTCATCCCCACACTACAGAATCCTGGTGATCACGGCAGAATTAGTCTCTACCAGACTAGACCAATGGGCTACTGGAAAATAGTAGATTTCAGGGGTTTTTCTAGCAAAATTTCACATGAGGGAGCAGAGGAACAAACTTGGTGCAGTACTCCCCTATGTTGCTAGATGGCACCTACATGCACATGGTTGAACTAACCTGAAATGTTGACATTTGAGATTAATCAAGTCTAAAATGTGTAAATTTTCGTAACTTTTCATAGTCTATTTTGTAGCAGGGCCTCAGCCTTGTATCACCAATTGTGTACTTTTATATTAAAGTTTAAAATTCAGTGCTTATGGTTAAAATCCATGTTTGTCCCCAGATGAGGTGTCTCGCGTGAAGGACCTCTTGAGGACAGCGTTCCCCGTCAGTAACCGGCCGGCATCAGCCAAGACTAATGACCCGGTCCTCATTAACGCCATCCAGGAACACATGGAGGCAGACAAGCTGCAGGCCACTCCCAAACATCTGGACAAGGTACGGCCTTCTCCAAAACAAAGTCATTCAACAGTTTGAAAGCCATTTGAGGCAGAGTTAGAATTACAGTGAAGATGGGTCTTGGAAAATGTGAAGTTATAAGTGCCACAGGAAATAGAAAGATAGTTTGAATTATTGTTAGAAATTAAGTTAGGGTTATATAGAAGTTATGATAATCGTTTGGTTTTTGATGAAATTTTCTTCTCCATGTCTTGCCTTCCAAATGCTGTGCCCTAAATTTGGTACATTTTGCTTGTGAGGAAAGAAGAATGTTTCTGACTGTGACATCTTTTCCTTAAGTTGACTTGGAGGACAGCTAAGTGTCTTAGATTTTAAACAAAGGGTACTTTAAACTTTAATTTTGACTTTTGACTGTTATTATAGATTCTCCAGCTGTGGGCAGCCCTACAGGCCCAGCAAGGCGTCATGTTGGTCGGCCCGTCCGGAAGCGGGAAAACCACAACGTACCGCGTCCTCGCCGAGGTCCTGAACATCCTGAACGAGAACATCTACGCCTCGCAGGAGACCCCCGACATCTACCCCACCCCCAAGATCTCCAAGTCCCGCCTGGTGGGCAGTCTGGAGAGGAGGATGACACAGGAGGACATGAGGAGGAAGGCTCTGGACGACTCGCCGGACAAGCCTCGCTCCACCAAGTCCATCAACAGGATGGACCTGGCTTCCCTTCCGGAGGCAAGTTATCAGCCAGAAAAAGTATGTTTTGTTTTCTATTTGCGGTGTAAAGGTGTAAAAAACAGTGGCAACAACTTCACAGAGGCACTCACAAGTTGCACCAGAAGCACGGTAAGAAGCACAATAACATTAGAAGCACGGTAAGAAGCACAATGAATATTTAGAGCGTTAAATCATCATGATAATGTGATTGTATTTGGGGCTTCTTTTAAATTTAGTAATTGAGAGAGCTTCTTTGAGTGATTCTTTTAAGAAGCAAACTCTTTAAGTTTGCAAGCTTTGTATTGGCAAGCAGAAACCACGCATGTTGTAAGATAGTGGAGTATGACTGACTTTAGATGATTAAATCATAAAGTTTAACATGATTTGCTGTGGTTTGCAGGTTGACTACCCCCGTGTGGATGGCGCAGTGCTGGTGCCCAATGCCCACTCCCTGGAGGACCTGCTTGGGTTCTACGATCCTGACGACCATTTTTGGAAAGACGGGCTGCTGACAAACTTCCTGCGGAACGCTCTTCACACGGCAGAGGCGGCCAAGAAGATGATCCAAAACTTTCAGTCGAGTATGGGAACCTTTTTTTGCACACTGTTCAACATAATTATTGTGTTTCTAAGATTTTTGAAAATTTGACCCTCTGCAATGCTATTTCCTGCATTCTGAGGAGCAAATTTTGCTGGCAGACTAAGCTTAGTTTAATGACATCTCTTGCTATATCTTGTCAAAAATGACGGATTAGACAAAGTTTTGGTCCTTCATGAGTGGCAAAATTCCATTAACTGACAAAAATATTAGCCTGGAGTCCAGTCTTGTTAGCTTTGCTCCACTCCCCAAGGTCTGCTAACAAAGCTAACAAGGCTGGACTCCAGGCTACAGAAAGATTGCAGTGGCTAGAACACCGATATTATAAGATAAAGCTCAAACTCAAAATTTTCTGGACCACAGGTGACCGGAGGTCCAAAACCAACCTGAGTGAGCCGTCCACGGTGTACCAGTGGATCATCATGGACGGGCGGTTTGACCCCCCGTGGTCGGAGAGCGTCGTCACGCTGCTGGACCAGAACCGCGGGATCCACCTCACCAACGGGGACACCATCGCGCTCGAGCCCACCACCTCGCTCCTGTTCGAGATGTCAGAGTTACGGGGGGCATCTCCGTCTCTCGTTGGCAGGCAAGTTCACAATCCAACACTGTTTCTACCTTATACAAAATAAATCAAGCAATTTTGGATTTATTTTGTGAGGAGACAAATGTTTCATATGGCATTGGCTCTTCTTTATTAGTGACTGAGAATGGTTAATAGTCTTTGATGCCATCTGAAACATCTGACTCCTCCTTCATTGTTGCACCATTATATTAGCTCACAAGAAAAATTGCACCTAGGTTGTGCAATGTTTTTTAGTTTATTTTGTACTAGTTTGTCATCTAATTTCATGCTGACAAATAATTTCAGATATTGATTCATATTTGAATGTTTTTGACTTCTGACCTGATCTGTGTTTGTATGTTGTGTTTATATGTCTTCTCTTGTCTGTTCTTCTTCCAGATCTGCCATTGTGTATTTTGAGGACGGTGAACACATCTGGAGGTCCACAGTTGAGTCCTGGTTTCTGAACGCCTTTAATCGTTGGACGGTCACGGCCCAGACAGTCAGGGTGTGGACTGACTTGATCAACGACGTGTTTCCACAAACCATCGAGTTCCTGTCCTCCAACACAGTCAGCGTGCTCGACGTGGACACAAGTTACTCGAGCCGAGCCAGGAGCCCTTGCTGCAGTGGTCTTCAGGAGGTCTCCTCCTTCCTCAGTATACTGTCCTCGCTCTTAAACAAGCACATGGCAAGGGACCCAACGGATGCGAACTCTGTGCGGTCGCAGTCGCCACGAGACGAGACCCGTTCCCAAGCCAGCTGGACGTCGGCGGGAAGCCAGCGCCGCATGATCCGCCTGGAGGACCTGTCTCCGTCCAACCAGGCCATTGTCTCCCAGAGCATGTTTGTGTTTGCCTACATCTGGGGGTTTGGAGGACACCTCCATGAGAGGCACACGGCAGTATTCGATCTCTTCGCGAGGAAGGTGCTCTCGCAGGCCAGCCACCAGATCCTGATACCTCCGATAGGGAGCGTGTACGACTACTGCATCGACACGAAGAACGGGACGCTGATCCGCTGGCAGGAGAGGCAGAACGCGGAACGGTCGCGGATGACGTTGTCGACTTACACCGTCCTCCCTGAGGTGGAGCGATACTCGTTCCTCATCGACTTGCTCGCCACTTCCCAGCAGGCTGTGCTGCTGGCTGGCCTACCAGGTATGTCAATCAATCAATCAATCAATCAATCAATCAATCAATCAATCAATCAATCAATCAATCAATCAATCAATCAATCAATCAATCAATCAATCAATCAATCAATCAATCATAACCTAGTATAAAAACCAACTCCACAACCTCCAAAGTACCCTGACCTTGGTGCTAAAATTAAATTTGTTCTTAGTTTTGTTTATTGTGTGGATATCTGTCTCTGTATATGTGTTTAAATTCAGTATTAGATTATAAGTAGCCTGACCTTGGTGCTGAAATTGAATTTGTTGTTAGTTTTGTTTCACTGTGTGGATATCTGCCAGTGTATGTCTGTGTTTATGTGTATCTGCCATACCCAATGTGCACAATGCAGGGTGCTACACATACCCATTCCTGCAATTTTCCTTCTGTGTCACAGGAGGGTTGCAAAGCAGTATGGGTCATGGGTTGAAGTTTTCCATCCCTGTGTCTTTCTTTCAGAAATGTTTTCTGCATTCAAACTAAAGTGCACAGTCAGAACTGTCAATATAGTGGTCACTCAAGGGACTGAGCAAATTTGAACTGGTATGTACAAATGTAGACAGGTGACCACTACATGTTTTTTTCTCTTTCCCCTCAGGTGTTGGTAAAACAGCCCTGATGCAGAACTTGGTACAACCCAAGCACAACCTGACTCGCATTGCCATGTCCTCAGGTAAGTGTAACAACTACATACTATACTAGCTACTTCCAGGTATGGAAGTATTGTTTTGAATGGCAGAGCTGAGAGTTTGTTTGTCTGTTTGTCTGGACAGAGTAGATTGATAGCATGTGTAGGTAGGTGGAAAATTGCCAGGCATAATGATGTGTTATGTATTACATGGACGTAAGCATGGTGTGATCTCTGGAGATGATTGCCAACGACAGGGAAATTGACTTACAGCTATGTTAACAAAGTGTTCAACTTTTTCTTACTTTTCCAGGCCTGAGTCCCTCGGAGCTACAGCAGGTGATAGAGTTTAAGATGGACATGCTGACCAAACGTACTGTGACAGCCAGGACCATCAGCAGTAAGGGCAAAGTACACAACCAGCAGGTCTTCTTCATCGATGACATCAACATGGCAGCTAACGACCACTGTGGTGAATATCTATTTATTTGTTTGACATACATATGCACTAGCTTAGGTAAAGGTAGTCCCGCAGCCTTTTTGAGGCCATAGAAGCGGTGAGTAGTCATTTCATTGTGTATAGAGTACAGTATTGGGAGCCAGTGCTGCTATGTCCATCACTCGTCTTTTGTTTTATTTTGAAATGATTGATGGAAAAGAAGATGTTAACAGAAGTGTGTTTAATTGTCTAACTTCATGGCTGACTACTGTCTGCTGCCTCAGGTACCCAGCCATGTCTGGAGGTTCTACGACAGATCATGGCTCATGGTGGAGTCTACAACATCGACAAGCACAGCTTCAAACCCATCAGTAATGCTGCTTTTGTCGCTGCCTGCACTTCTCCTGGTAAATTTTTTCTGCATTATGTTTAGATTGTATTATCATTGTATTGCTTAGCATTCACAGTCATCTAACCCTTGGATGAAGGGGACAAACAGATGATAAACCGGATAGTGAGTGAGGTATTGAGCAAAGGTACATGTAGACCATACATTTTTGTAGCACGTACAGTCCAGTTTGGGACCCTGTACCAGGGCTCTAGCCACCACCTGTTTTTCTGTCAATTGCAGGAACTTTGTGGTGTGTGGTAGAAAAATATTAAACCAATCTGATGGGCTTAAGTGTACTTTCCGCTAACATTACTGTACCATTCCATTTTCCAGCTGTTGCTGGCATAGGGAACAGCGCGGCCTGTCACCAGATGAGTCGTCGTCTGATCCGACTGTTCACGGTCATCGCCTTCCACCCTCCATCGCTGGACAGCCTGAAGAAGCTGTACACGGGCATGCTGCAGTCCTGGCTGGAGGAGTTCCCTGTCTACAGCGTGGCTCACCACACGCGCATGGCGAATGTAAGTACAGCTTGACTAGTGGCTACAAATGTAGGATGACTCGGACCACTAACAACTTGGTGAATGTAACTTTTCTTTTTGTACTATGTTCAGTAGTTGCCATACGTTGTGCCTTGTACAATTGTCGTGCAATAAAGTTCGTCTTCTTCTGTAAGGACTGTCAAACTTGTCTAAGATGACCACCCAGGGGACCCAGGAAAAGTGGTCCTCTTAGACAGGTGGTCTTATGCAAAGAGCATGGCAACAAGACAAGACAAGACAAGAAAACAGAGAACAAGAAAAATGCAGCAAAATTTCTACCCATCTTACAATAGGCTGCCCCATTGACCTAAAGTGACCCAGTTAGCATGATTTTACATTGGACAAAGACTGTCAGATGGTCAAAATCAATGGCAAACTGTCTGATTCCATAGTTAATATATCATCAAAAAACGTTTTCCATCACTTGCTATAGTGTATCATTACCATGTTGATTCTTGACACCATGTTTCTTGACCTTTGCCATTTGACCCCTCCAGGCGATCGTGTCCGCCTGCCATGACCTCTACAGACAGGTGTCGGCCCGCCTGCCCCCCACCCCTCAGAAGGCCCTGCACGTGTTCTCCCTGCACGACCTGTCCCGGGTTGTGCAGGGGATGCTGCTGCTCACCCCCAGGGTCAGGGGCAAGCCCCGCCCCGTCAGGACAAGGGCAAGTTCAAGGACATGGAGCATGGTGTCCGGGGACACCTCAACGTCAGAAGGAACAGGTAGGTTTTGATGTTAATTTACTCCAAGGGAGTGGAGTACTTTTGTGTTTTAATGTCACTTCAATAAGGGTGTAAAGTTACTGTAACAGTTACAGTATTGTTTCTTGGTTGTCTGTCTATGTGTGTTTGTGTGTGTATTGTGTATGTGTGTGACTGTGTGTGTGTGTGTGTGTGTTTGTGTGTCTGTGTATGTGAGTGTGTGCATCTGTGTGTATATGTGTGTGTGTGTGTTTTTGTGTGCATATAGGTAAACATAGTTGGAGTTCTTTATTAAATAGAATCTACAAATGTGAGAAAACTCTCAGAAAATTATCATGTAATTCGCCATTTTGTTTCAATTGCAATTTTTGTTTGCCTACAGGGAAGTCTGTGAGCATTTTCCCCGTCCCGCCATCCGAGGACGCAGGTGATGGGCGGACCCCGAGGCGTGGCCTGAGCTGGGCCGGCAGCCATAGCGACACTCCCGTGGCCCCGCCCTTACAGAAGCTGGTGGTCAGGCTGTGGTGCCACGAAGCCATCAGGACTTTTGCTGACAGACTCTTCTGGGATGAAGGTGATGTCAAATATAATTCATTTACATTCACAATCGCTTTATTTTGCAGTACAATCGGCAGACCGCAATCGGCAGTGTTGACAAGCCGGCGGGACTGGAATGCTGAAAATGACACGGCCATTTTAGGCAATGTTGTGGTTGTTTGCAGACCCAACTTGGGGTGGTCTCGGTCACAGAGGACAAGTGGTTGTCTTTTGCACAATGCTTAATGCTTGTCACCCATGGGGGAAAAATTCGGGACCGGCAAAAACTGGTTGTCTTAGACCAATGGTCATTTCATGGACGTGGTTGTTTGACTGCATAAGGGAAAAAGAACTGGTGCAATGGCCAAGTGGTAGAGTGTTTGCCTTGCATTCAGTGGGTTGTGAGTTTGAACCCCGGCTGTGTCTTACCAGACTTTAAAAATGGTACTGCTTTCTCTGCTTAGGACTTAGCATTTGGAAAAAAGTATGGGAGTTAAACACACACCACACACCACACACCAGACTAGCTTTAGCTTTGTAAAAATGGCCACAATGATCTTTTGTGATTTCTTGTTCTTTTAATTCCTCATTAAGATTAGAGACAGTTTTGAGATGACACATGAAACATGACTTTGTTCAACATTTCATACAAACTTGATGGTTTACAATACAAATCAGATCACTCAAATTGATACAAAACTCTAATACTGGCTACTTCTAGATTTTAACTATTGTAGACTTACATGAAATAAATAGTCACATATTAATTCTTGACAAAGAAGATACTTTACAATACAAGACAAAAGAAATTAACAAACTATAATTGTGTTATACCCTGTCACAACTTTTGGTGGACCTGTGATATGTTTTCATAGCAATTACACTCTCCCTATATTTTTCTTTGCCTCCAAAGAAAAACCTTCGAAAAGCAGGCAGGGAAAGCGCAAACAAAATGGAATTTACAGTGGTTGACAGTTTAGCAAGTGGAGAGGCTGCCATGTCTAGTTCTGGTGGTATATCTGCTTCTGCCAAGCCCAGAATCACTACGACCATATATGGAAACCAGCAGACACAAAAGAGTGATGTAATGGTGAGTCCAGCAAGGGCAACGCTGATTCCATTGATTCCATTCTTGGCACTTTTTCTGATATGTTTGGTTTGCCCAAGTTTAAAAACTCTGTGGAATATAGAGCTGTAGCTATGACAAATAGAAGCCAGGGGTACAGAAAATCCACAGACCATCAAAACTACAATATATGCCTTCGACGATGCGTCAGTTGACAAATAATCCATCGTAGCACTGAACTGGAGAGGGTTTACAACAAACCGGTTCCACCCAAATAAGGGCGGTAGCATACAAACTATAGATATGAACCAAATGAAGACCACTCGCTTCAGCTCTGTGGAGTGCTTGAAGGCTGTCAGGCTGTGGAGAGGCGCCCTGACCACGCCCAGCTGTTGCCTAGCGATGGCAGTGATTGACAGGATGGACACCATACAGGACACGCCAGTGAGAAAGCCGACCACCTGGCACCCTGCAGAAAATCAAAGACACAAACATGAGACAATCAGAGATGGCGGACTTCACCTCATTACCTGTATCTGTAGCAGTTTAGCCGGTATAACCGCCCTTCGACGTAACACACCAGCTTCACAGTTACCCTTACTGCTTTGCAACCCTCTCTGTCACACAAAAAACAGCAGCATTAAAGATGTACTGGTATGTCTATGCATTATGTGAACCCGGGCAGCCAGCTTACGACACCAGCGCGCTAACCACCAAGCCAAAAGGTCCAGACCCATTGGAATGGATCAGATAGAGGCACTTAAACCCCATTGTTACACAGACACACAGATAGACTGAAACGCATGATGATATTACGCCAAAGAATGTTAGACATCCAGGTAATGAGATACACAAGGTGACTGTTACTCAAGCAACTGGATAGGTTTGAGAACTGTCAAATGTTTCAATCAAGTAGCATCCACTTCTTTTTGTCAGTTTCAAATCTATTGAATTGCTTGAGTAACTGTTTTCTAATATGCATGATGATAAAACAAAGTCAGATCGTGAGTGAGAAATTCACAGCACAGATAAATTGGCTGAGATAAAACAGGTAACCACCTTGATCTTGGTTTCCTTTTGAAAAGCTTTGTAGTTTTCTACATCAAAAGACAGTTACTTTGAACCTGCTTTCTTTGAAGAACTATCATAGTGCTGCTTGAAGTTGTAAGCACATATTTGCCTTTTTAGGAAAAACTACTGTAACAGTAGAAGGTTCTAAGTGACTTTTCTGTGACACAATCTTAGTTTTCAGAGAGTAGTACATGTATTTGTTTAGCTGGGGGTAATGTCCAGATTTAGGTGGTCATTAGTACAGGTTTGTCTGCAGGACTTAAGTGAAAAGAAGGGTGAAGTTGAAGAAGGTACACACTGGAGCAACAAACAAACAAACAACTCGATAGAAATTTGGCAACTGTCAGACATTTCAAGAAGCATACACTACTTTTCATCAGTGATGTATCTAACGAATAGTAATGGATGCTAATGTATGCTTCTCACAGTTTTCAAATTCTATCAAGTTGCTAAAAAGTAACTGTACAGTTTTCCTGTGTAAAAGAATGGTGAATTATATTGCATGTTTTGTACTCACCTATGTAGCCTCCCACCCATCTGTGAAGATAGTTTGATACTGCAGTCACTGGACTGTATGATAAGCACATGAGCAGCTGGCTCAAGCACAGATTGGCCACCAGGTAGTTTTTAGGCTTTCTTAGAGCCCTAGATTAAAACAGAGGAGTAGTAGAAAATAAAGCATAATGAATTATTGAAAATTTGAATACGGAAGCCATACATGTAGGCTCTGCAAACATCCAGTAGACTAATGGCTTATTCTTAGGCCAGAGCAATTCAGTTTGTCGGATTTCCAATTTGCCTCTTCATTTTTTCTGATTCTGATCAACTCAAATATGCTAACAGTTCAGGAAAGTCCTTTTCTTCCTAGTTGGTACAGTTTTCCATCTATCAAGGCAGTGGTTTGATTAAACGTTCAAAATTCATTGTTTAAATATTAACCCAGCCTTTTGTGTTGACTTCTTGGCTCCTATTGTAGCATTTGGAGCTATAATAGGATGCCTAGACCTGTTTTTTTTCCCCTGTCGCTTCATATTTTTTCTGAAAAAATCAGAGAACCGACAAATTAAATTGGGTGGCCTTAGGGCACAACTGCAAAAAGAGGCCCCAGACAGCCTTGGCTTTAATATATTACACAGCCAAATAAATCAAAGCAAATCATTTCCTCGCCTAGGGAGCCTTATTAAACTATTAACAGATGTGTCCCCATCAGTTCCGACTTGTTTATGTTCTTGTTGTGAGGGCTAGCCCTTTATAATAGCCTCCGGCTAGTTGGGCAGTCCTGGCTGCATACATATATGTTATCAGCCTAATAAATCAAATCAAATCAAATCAGTAGCTTTTCATGACATAAACACCATAGGTTCAGCACCAAGGACAGGAAAGGGTTCTGTCATGTAGAATGATGATTCTAGAATTAGCGACAAGGTTTGAAGCATAGGAAACCATTTTAGCAATGCTTAAGCATAGGAAACCATTTTAGCAATGCTTAACATGTCACCACGTGTAACCATGCACAATTGTATTGTTTACAATAATGGGTCTAAGGTATAAAAATGTGCCTGAAACCACAATAATTATTGTATTGTTTACAATAATGGTTCTAAGGTCTATAAATTCTAAAGTCCATTTGTACACAACAATTGAATTTATAGGATGGTATGTATTGAAATATTTTGAGCAAGTGAAAAGGAATTCAAATAGGGAACAAGAGGATGCCCCTAACTGAAGCTAGGTAATCATTTTCACTTCAGTTGATTGAGTAAATAGGTGTAAAAGCCTTTCCCAAAGTCACAGCACTGTGGCCTGCCAGGGATTTGAACCCAGAACCTTCAGATTTAGAGCCAACAACCCTAACCACAAGACTACCTTGCCACCTCCAAATCCAGCTTTTGAGTATTTGAAATTTATATTGACAGCCACTCCATGGGGTATGACTAGTCTACAGGTAGACAGTCAGTCCTTTGTTGACATGCTTTGCTGGGCTGTTTCTTTACATATTCTCTTTTTTTTTCAAATGACTCAGAGTCCACATGTCCCCTTCAAGTTAAAGAAATCCACCCAACATGGATGAATAATCAAAACTGTGAATGAGGAATTTGACTCAATATGTTGTAAATATCTATATATATATGTCTTAGCTTTCTTCATATCCAGCCAAAACAGCTGCGATTTGGTAAAAATAAAAACTCGGAAAAAAGGGAGTAACATGGATTTTCCCTTATTGTTCTGGATTCTGTTATAATGTAATATTTTTATGACTTACCTGAAGAAAGCGTAGAAGGCCAACATGTTTCCCACGGCTCCCGTTGTTCCAAACAGCAGGATGAGAGTCGCGTTGACGATCTGACTGGTGCGGAAATGTTCCCCACCGATGCAGCGCGTCAGGTTTCCCTCGTCCAACACGCTCTCGTTTCCTGCCAACGCTAACTCACACAAGACAGAAAAGCTGTCGCTCGAATTGGCGAGAAACGAGCTGTCCATGATTGAGAACGTTTTTTTTGCTACTACAACGAAAAGAGATGAATTCCAGCTGCAAGGAACAATACAGCTGCCTATCCTATCGTATCCTTGAATCTGCGAGTGAACACCGAGGATGGCTTGTGTACAAAGGCAATGCTACCATATGATGGGCGTTGAGAAATCCTGAATAGGGCATGTGGTTGGCTGCCCCACAGTTACACAGTGATGATATGCATGTAGCTGTCTATCACGCAAGACCTATAAACATATATAAACATATTAAATATACATGTACATGTCCTCCTATCTCCCAGTTGTACACAAACAACATGTGATACCAGTAATCAGTGATCACATATGACAGGTCTGGTCAGGTGATGTAATGTTATTGCACTAGTAGGCCACAGGACATTCAAATTTAGATGAAGAAGGTTGAACAATTAGGGCAGAAAATCTTCTGGGACTCAACCTAGTCTTTCATTGCAGTGCTGTAAGCCCAATTAAAATATAGTGGTTGATGTTTTTCCTTTATTCATGAGTTCTGTATTACTACTTGGTTCTTGCTTGGATGTCAAGGTTGTAGTAGCTAGCACGTCGGCAGAACGTACTGCGCCTGCGCAGAACCCTGGATTTTCACGTTTTTAGTCAACGGATTTTTCGTCAACATTGCATCAGAATTTTCACTGTTGCAGTGGATATCTTTTCTGACACAACATTTGGAAACTACTGTTGAAATGCTAACCTTATATAAGCGAATACAACCTTATATGAGACATTCTGCTGAAATGCTATGCACAATACATTACGGGTTTCGCGCAGGTGCAGTACGTTCTGCCGACGTGCTGTAGTAGCTGTTGTACTTTATGTTGCTTTTAAGCTATTTCGAGTGTGGGAAGTATTGTTTTGGGTGGCTGAGCGGTGGGTTTATGTGTCTGTTTGTCTGGACAGAGGACATTAACAACCTTATGGGTGTGGGGGAAGATTGACAGGCAGAATGACAGGAGGTCAAAAGGTCGGACACAGGAAATGGCTCCAACAGGGAGTTCTCCAATACTCTTCAAAGAACTTGCAAATGATGTCCCAGTAGAAACCTGTCAGCTATTCATTACTTTTACTTACATCAAACTTGCAGACATTTATTCATGGCCTTCCTAAGAATGCCTTCAACACTTGGATAATTTGTAGTGTGCATCCAGGTATCTCAAGAATTACTGGATCAGGTGCTGCATTTAATAGTAAGTCTCTTCAGATTAGCCACTCAAACAGGGGACCTCCTTTAACATCCTATCCAACGGATGTCTTCCCCCGGCCGAGTGAAGTGCTTTTCCCAAGGGGAAGTCCTTGAGGACAGCTCTAACTGGTATCTGTCACGACTCCACCAATGATTACCGTCATTATTCAAATGATGACGCTTGAAGATAAGGATTATATAACTGATGATGATCATAACTGACACATGAAAGACCCACGACAGAGCAGTGTTATAATGTGCCATGATCTAATTTATTGTGCTCAGTTGAACGATACAATGTAGTCACCAATTATTATACTCTCTTGGCTTGTTTTGGTTTCATTGACAATGTAAACCCAGAGACCTGCTTATTCAAATGTAGATCATTTTCTGTTGTATTGGACCTAAGCAGCATCTTCAAGTTTATGAAATTCTTCATAGTTGACTATTGACTCCTAAATTTGCTATTGTCACTATTTTTATGATGATATACTAGTAACGTTACATTGTATATGCATAACATGCTTACAAGCTTGTGCCAGACTATTTGACTGATCTACAGTACAGAGTTCACTGCTGATTTACTAACAAACAAACAATACACAATCTTCACAGGTACTGTAACTATAAGCTGCAATAGAAGAGCTGATATTTTTTTATTCAAACATTAAAGATAGGCTCATGGCACAATTTTACTTTATTTACTTTAATTAGTCATCTGGCTGTTAACAAAAGAAAAAATTGTTTCTACTGACTTTAGTTGTTTTGTTTTCCAATTGGGTAATGTGATCAAAATAGCCATCGAAAATTTTTGTTTTTTGAATTTCATGGAGTCTAACATTGGAAATATTTGATATTTTTGAGCAAATCTAAAAAAAAAAAGCTTTCAGTAGTTGGATGTTTGCTTCCCTTTGATTCATAACATTCAGTAAACTTACTAATAGTATAAACATCACACAAAATTGATACATTTATAATGTTATTTTACACATGTTGAATCATTGTTCATCTAAGGTTAAGATGATGTCAGAAATGATTTTCTTTGACAATTTTTCCCTCTATTCAGTTCTATGTGTGCAAATATTCACAGTTTAATATACCATGTGCTTGTTGATTTACAGAGAAATTGCACTTACATGTAAGTTGCACCTACTAGTAGAATCACATCCAAAATGCTTGCAGTATATGTTTAATACTAATGGATATTTTTAAGCTGCTTTTTTGTAAATGCCATGTATGTGTATGCACCACCAGTATTAGAAAAGTCCTGGGAGAATTTTAAGGTTAATTTTGGAAGGAGGGGGCCAATAAGGTACCCCTACAGAAGCCCACAGAAACAAGACCTCATGTTGATTCAAAGGAACATGTCTCTCCATTAGTTGTGACTGTACAACAATGTAGGTCGTAATACATGGATTAATGATAACAGTATAGAGGACAATGATGGCCTGCCTTTATGTCCTACATTGTAGTGATGGTAATGATGATGAAAGTTTACTACCGCATTTCATACATGTACATATGTATCAGACTCTGTACATGTACTTCTTGCATGCCTGTCTTTTTTGGCTGTTAATGAATTTGTTCAGTGCAAGGCCAGGAGACCACTTCTAGGCACTGAACCAAAATACAGTATTAAGTTCCGGTTCCTGGAACAGCATCTCCTCTCCTTAAGTCAGAAAAAGTGCTTGACTCACTAAGAGTGAGGACTAACTGACTCAATAGGAGAAGTAGGGGTAACTGTTACAAAGGCTGCTCAGGAACATTCTTTTCCCCTATTTAGACCAGAATGATTTTGATTGACTCACATAGAGAGGGATGCCTACTCCTTTTGATAAGTGTGTTGGGTTCTTTAATGTGCTGGAGGTCTGTGGCTCTCCCTAAATACAGGACCTCTGTTTAATGTCTTATTTGACAGATGCCCCTGTACTCATCTCCACCTGAGTGAAATTTGGAAATTTACTTAAAGTTCCTTTCTCAATGACACAGCATCAAGGCTTGTCATTATAGTTGAAAAGAGCTGCCACTTTAGAGACCATAAATTCCACAGTTGAGTGTAGGTCATCTATTAGTGGGATGTGCTTGTAGAAGAGTACTTGACTGTAAAAGTTTGTACTTCTAACCATTAACTGATCATTGGATGGTCTGTAGGCTACTGTAGGGGTTTTATTAACCTTCTTCCAGCTAAGATAGCCTTTTTGCACTGAATGTGTATTATTGTGTTGTGAAGTTACATGTAGGTAGCAGGGAGAAGGTTAATGGGGCAACAAATTCTGTCAAACATTTAGGATTATGGTTTCTTTGACAACTTTTTGGCTTTAGGAGCAATAGAGGACTTATAATAACTTGATGGTGTATATACTTATATATCATGGCAAGCTGCAAGTGTTTGAATGAAATGACCAAAATTTGCAAGCAAATTGAGTGTGCTCTTTTTGTATTCAGCTATGTTTACTTTATTCACTGTCAACAGATAGATAAAATGCCCTAAACAAAAATATAGTATTACATAATAAATGGTTTAGGTATATGACTTAAAAATGTGCATATGCATACACTGACAAAATTTTATACTAAATGCAAATTGTAAAAAGTTTTGAGTGTTTTAATTTGTTTTAAATCGTACTCTGTAATCTTGCATCATATTCCAAATATGAAATCATCAAGGGTCATACAAATCCAATTTCAGTTGCTGTACATTTTACTCAGCAATTTCTGTCATTAATGCAAAGGGAGCCTTTTGTAAAAGATATATGAAATACAATAATCTTTTTTTACACTAGCCAAATTTATCTTTGTCAAATTTGGATGAAAGAATTCCAAAAGAAAAGTTTGCCAATTACACTAGTATGCCTAACAGTCTATGGAAAAGTTGCCTGCCTTACTTTTTTTGTAGTTCTACAACAGGTTTGAATTGTTATTTCCAACACAAGAAATTGGACCTACCCAAACCTTAAACTGTGCTACACAGTCTTCGTCAAGGAATGGGCAATTCACCACCTCTGTGATGCCATGCTATGCAGATAGAAATGTGACTCCATGGATGGACAGTGGATCATTATGTAGTTGTTGCCACTGGCTTACATGTATATCATCCTTCCCAGATCCTGAAAAAAAAAAAGTGGGCATTCTGCCCTTTCATTAGCTCCCCCCTCCCACAAACACAATCGAACATGATTTTACTTGATAATTCTCCCTCAATAATAAAGTTTTTTTTTTCAAATTTTCCAATTTAGTACTTTAGTAATGAATTTTTTCCAATGTTATGACTATGAGTATGAAGAATATTTCAATTTACCATGATTCGAAGTAAAGGTTATAGAGACAACTGAAATTGTTTCACCTTGTTGATATTTTTCTGTGAAAGGTTGTAGTTTGGCCTTTACTGAGTCAGTCTTTTAAAAGTTGTTAGATTTGCAATGTATGTATCAACAGGGAACAAATTTGACCTCAAAACAGCAACTTTTGATCTTGATAGGTTCAATATCATTTCATATCACAAGAAAACTAACATTGCATCAAGTAGTCAACAATATACATGTACCATGAATAATGACTATTCAAAGAATTCTACAAAAAGAAAACACAACACACCAAAATAGTATCTACACATGCACACATACTAGTATAGTGACTGTCTAAAATTGTTTAATATGTTTTTGTTGTCTGTCTGCAGATGTGCAGTGGTTCCGCGAGGCTCTGACATCCACTGTGGAGAAACACTTCTGTACCGGAGAGGAGGGATATGACCCCTCACGACCTTTTGTCATGCCCGCTATCCCAGAGGTAGGCCCATTTAATATACTTTTCTCTTGCAGTCAAATATAAGATATAATATCATATAAAACATCATATAAAATTATATGATGTTGTAGGTAAGTGCTATCCTATCAGTTTAAAAAGACATAGTCAATTTTGGGCTCCCTTGTGGCTTAAATTTGTAGCTTAAATTTGATGTAGTTAATATATGTTTGGTGTTTTTGCCACCCTTGTAATGCCAAAGGATTGTGGCAGACTGTTCAGTCAAAGGAAAGGAAGCCAATCAGTTTTCAAATTTAGTACTTTTCAAACCATTTGGCTTCTCCAAAGTCTTGGTTAATAATTTAGGGATTTATGTTGCCCATTGCAAAATTTATAATTGCAGGATAAATTTGGTGTGACATTCACTTTAAATTTGTTTTTAAAACTACTTTTCGAATATGTTTACCATATATGCTAAAGCACAAAACATACTAAGTATTCGCAACAAAGATACAAGATTTAATTTAAGAAAGAGGGCATGCACAGTCTTTCCACAATGCCACCATGTACACAACTCAAGCCATGTGGGGTTAATACCCCTGTAACTTATCAATATTCATTTTCCACTACTTGTCAAATGAGACTGCAGAGAGCATTGTTGGGAGCTGGAATCTCTTTGAAGGCTGAAGTATGCTAGATGGTTCATTCTTCCTCTACTCAGCTATTTCCCTACTCTTTTCATGTGACAGGTGTATCAAATTGGATAGAGCTGCATGTTACAGAGTAATTTTGTGGAAAACAAGTCAAGCCAGACTTTATGTTTTGCATGGCAAATATATAACAAAATTAAAGACAATGTATGCTGCTTAGGGCTGTAACATTTTGTAGATCAGATCATGCAGCTTTTTTAAAATCAATGTATACATTGCAGTGGTGCTAACTGTTTCAAAAAAACTGCAGATTTCAATTTTGTAAGAGCTTGAGTCAGGAGAAGAAGAATTGGGTCAACAGAAATTGAAACATTATGCAGATGAATATTGTTGTTTGTGAAATAGTTTCATGCTTTGTGGCACAAAAAATGGATTTCTGGTAAATTTTTGAGTTTTTATTTTCTTTATGCACTTTAGTTGCTTAAGATTTGTTGAAACTTCAAAAGGATTTTTTTTCTCATTTCCGAGGCATGCATGTACTACAATTTGTCACTGGGCATCCCTGTATAAAGGGTCTGCCTGGGATCCTGGGCAGTAGGTCACAGGAGAGGTGCTGCCCTAGCCAGAACCCTCAACCTCGTCTGAGGCTTCTTTATCCTTTTTTGGGCCAGGGGCTGGGAGGGAGGCTGCCCTGGAGGCATCTGGTTTGGCCTGGTCAGCCTCCTCATCATTAGAGCATGCAATGGGTGGAAGCGATGCTCGCTTTGAGGCCTCCGAGACTTTGATGGCAGATATAGGACCAGCTGGGAAGGACACTGGCCTATCCATGCCCTGACCAGCACTGGGGACCACGGCTGGAATACCTTTGGTCATCGAAGCAGAGTGGGTTGTGCCATGGGCCGTTGTGTCAGGGTGGGTCTTATCCTGGGTTGTCGAGGCAGGGTGGGTGGTAGCCTGGGTCGTTGAGTCAGGGTCAGTTATAGCCTGGATCGTTGAGTCGTGGTGGGTGTTATCCTGGGTTGTCGAGGCAGGGTGGGTGGTAGCCTGGGTCTTTGAGTCAGCATGGGTCTTGGCCTGGGTCGTTGAGTCATCAGGGTCAGTTGTAGCCTGGGCCACCGAGTCATCAGGGTCAGTTGTAGCCTGGGCCGCCCAGTCATCAGGGTCGGTTGCAGCCTGGGTCTTTGAGTCATCAGGGTCGGTTGTAGCCTGGGCCGCCGAGTCAGCGTGGGTCTTGGCCTGGGTGGTTGACTCATCAAGGTCGGTTGTAGCCTGGGCCTTCAAGTCAGCATGGGTCTTGTCCTGGGTTGTCGAGTCATCAGGGTCGGTTGAGGAGGCATGGACAGTGTCTGAGGTGGAAGCTTGCGCTGCCGCAGCCTCAGCCACATTGTCAGGTATCACCCAGTACAGGTGGGCCTGACCACTGCCATCATGATTACCAGCATTGCCATCAGCATCAGCACCATCAGCATTGTTGCCATCATTGCCTTGCTCCTGTCGGCCCTTTGAACAGCGCATTTTCTTCACGATCACAAAGATGATGACGAAGGCCGGGATGCTTATCATCGAGAGGAGGGAATAGTACACCAGGGACACGGGAGCAGCTTCAGCCTTGCCTGGTGGAGTGGTGCCGGGTCCGGAGGTCGTTTCGGTGTCGCTTTCTGTTGCCACGTCAACCGTCGCATCGATGTCTGCTTCCTCTGTTGGAACCAGAGTCATCGATGCATCATCTGTTGGGGCTGTGTCCTCGATGGCCACGCCAGCCGTTGTTGCCATCTCGGTGGGAGGGTCGGTGATCTTGGCGGGAGGGTCGGTGATCTTGGCGGGAGGGTCGGTGATCATGGTGGGAGGGGCGGCGCATTTCTCGAGCCTCGGAGACGGCGCGCCCTGGAACGTCATCGGGGTAGTCTTCTCCCTTGTCAGAACCAGGCAGGTGACCTTCACTGTCTTCTCCAAGATGGCATCGTTGCGCCTCGGCGGATCCCCTTTGGCTTCGGTGGCGGCTTCGTCAGAGTTACTCGTGTAGAAGGCCATGGCGATGCGTCCCATTGGGGTGCCAGTTCCATTCACGGTGCCGAGTCGGAGGCGATGTGCACCGGGCAACCCCAGGGTCAGACCGCTCCCAGACTCCCACACCTGTCGGCAGAACAAGGGCATGTCAGACGCCTCCATCTTGTCTGTTGCTATGACGACAAGAGGAGGCTCGCCCCCGGCTTCCCTCTTCCGCATCCATGTCCCCTCGCAAGCAAACTCTGGACCTCGGGGGAAGGAGAGAGGGAAGCCGAACAGCCACTTCAGATGGTAGTCGTTTCTGCCAGGGGAGAAGGTACCGCAGAACACCAAGTCGTGCACTATCATGGATTCTGTCGTCTTCCCTTTTTCAAGCGAGGACTCTAGCTTCCATGCGACTGTCTGTGGAGTGCCTCCGTCAAGCGGGACCAGACTGTCTGCACCCAACCTAGCTTTCAACGGAACAACAAGCCCCTGAAATGCATCCCTGTCCACACAGGACAAAGGATTGCCTCTCAGGTTCACCATTACGAGGGCAGGCAGATTCGCAAAAGCCCTTGCAGGGATCGCCCCCATGAGGTTTGACCCTAGGTGGACGGTGTCCAGGTGTTTCAGGTTCAGGAACCAGTTGGGGTCGATCGTTGTCAGTCGGTTGTTGTTCAGGAACAAGGTCTGAAGGAATTCCATCTCCACAAAGCCTGCTGCATCGATCTTAGCAACCCGGTTGCTTGCCAAAGACAAGGTGTTGAGACTCGACAACCCTTTGAACCAGCCTCGCTTGACGTGGGGCAGCCTGTTCCTTGCCAGGAACACGTTGGTGAGGCGGACAAGCCCATGGCCAGCAAAGGCGTTGTCCGCCACGCTCACCATACCAGCATTAGCAATGCTCAGGAACTGGAGGTTGGCAGGGTCGAACACTTCCATCCACTCTTTAGTCAGGATTCGGACGGGGTACTCATCGATCTGGACCACGTCTATGCGGGGGAAGCAGTCCGGAGGCGGTGGCTGGGAAGTCGTGCCCGTGCCAGACTTGCTACCAGCACACGAGACACAGGCCATGTTGGTGTAGGGACCTCGATTGTACAGGCGTTTGTACTCCTCGTCCAAGCCGAAGTCGCACATCTCGCCGTGGGTCGTCGTGCACCGGGGAAAGCAGGGCCTGGGTAGACCCATGACACAGCCATGGGTTACCATAGCAACCAAGAGCCAAACGACAATCATAGCTCGTTCGCACTCACACACATCTGCTTACTAGAGGAAAATTTGCACACTAACCTGATTGGCCAGCCGTTAGGATGATCGGTTTTGGTGTGGACGATGAAACAAAAAGCAGCAGCACACCAGGCACTGCCACCTCCCCCTCTCACCCAACACGTTCTGATTATATTACACGCAACACAACAGTCTGCATACCTGCTGGCAAGCACGTCATGCATATGGAAGAATCTTAAATTTTTTTTTATGGCTGAGCCAATCGCAGGATGTAACGTTTTATAAGACCAAAAGCTTGCCTGATTGCAAAATGCCTCATAGCAGTGTGTTGGCTTTGTTGCGATGGGAAATTTTGAGACTAAATTAGAAATGTGCAGGTAGTCATGTTGCATCAGGTTTGCATTGGTTACAAAGAGATTTAAAATTTTAATGTTAAAAGGCTTTAAGTTACTCTGAGGAGTAACACTACAAAACATTGTTACAGTATTAAATTTTATAAACAGTGGTTTACTGGTTGTGCAAAACCAGTAAAAAGGCATAGGATATGATTTGTTAAGAAAAAGGGAGTTTGGGTAACCTAGAGACTGATGAATACATGTAAATAAATGTGCAGTGCAACAACTCTTTAAACCATGCATAATGTAACAGTTCCTTAAAAGGGCTTTGGAGCCTGCTAGGGATTCAAACTCAGAACCTAAGTCAAGAACCCTGACTACAAGTCTTAGTCTAATCTGGAACCTTGAAACTACAGTAACTATGGATTAAAACTATCTTCAATCTTGTTCCTGTTCCACAGACTCCTGCTGATCAGAAGAAATCTGGCACTCCTCGGAAGTACCTGTCTCCTCCACCGCGAGCCCTGTCTGCCGCGAGTCAGGAGATCTCAGCCGTCACGGGAGAGGAGGAAGGGGAGGAAGACGAGGACTTGGGCCGAGAGACGGAACTCGGAACACAAACGTCAGAACGAACAACTGATGGTAAGTCATTGAAGGTTAGACATCCATATAAACAATAATAGCTAATAGTAATACTCATACAATTTCAACTCCACTGGATAAACTACAGACTCTTGAGATTAATTCATCAAGAAAAGGTTTCTCTTGTCCCTAGTTGCAGTTCTTTGAACTCTTGTTGGATTCATTTATACTAATCTTATTCATTTCTATTGAGCATTAAAGTCCATCTATTAGTATTGTCAACTTCGTAAATTACATAATGAGAAATGAACTGTTTTCCAACCCCCCAAAAAATAGATTCTTTATCAGTTATCTGACCCAAGTGCTGTAGACACATAATTCTTCCTCACGTGTGGCGTCAGGGCACACCAACCTTCTCTCAACTGGGACAGGGCGCAGTACAGACTTCCAACAAACACGACATCACACGTGAGGAAAAGTCACGTGCCTAAAACACTTGGGTCAGATAGCTGAGAGATTCAATAAAATAATTAACAGACTGAGTTTATTTCTCGTTTTATCTCATTCATTTCTGCCTCTTGCCTGTTTTATTTAACATGTGTGAAGTTTCCCCCATCCTGTTTTTACTCAAGACCACACCAATTTATTTTCTTGATTATCTGGCAATTTTTACTAAAAGATTTAGAAAGAGGACAGCAGGAAAGCAGTCCTCCAGCTATACGTCAGTGCTTACTTATTTCAAATCTGAAAACCAAGAAACCAAGAAGTTGAATTGGTGTGCTCTAAGTGTGCAGCGTGTGATCTAACCTTATAGGTGATGGATACGAAACTGTGGCCACTGATTACGAGACTGACATAACGACTCCGGAGTCAAGGATGACACGAGCGACGACCGAGTATTCAGGTTAGCGGGTGGAAGATCCTGTGATCTTCTGAATCAAAAATTGTTTCCATTGGTGGTGACCCTGGATGGTGGCAGTGATTTTTTTTAACCCTTAGCACTCCAAGAATGCCATGTGGCATCAAATGTCTTCAGGTACATTTGATCTTAGAGTGCTAAAGGTTAAAGTGGTGTCTCTGGCGATGGTAGATTAAATACATGTAGAACCAATCAGTTTCTTTGATTTCTTTAATTCCTGAAAAAAAAAAATGTACCAACTGTTAGAGTCAAATCTTTTGCATTTGTGTTTTTCTTTATATGAATTATAATGATCACACATTAGCCTGGGTACCATCCTTGTTAGTCAACATCTGCTTCGATAGTCAAGTAGCAACTATCAGAGCAGATGTAAACTAACCAGGACAGTTCCCAGGCTATCACATAATAGTCTTTGAAATTCAGGAAAGAGGCTAGAATCATTCATAAGTCTGCTTCTACAGTAGATGAAGAAACCATCAAAGTTGATTTGATTTGACTTGATTTGATATTAAAGGCCACACCGATACATTTCAATCCATGGTTCTCCAACATTTTGCAGTAAAATCAAGCAATATGTCAGTTGATCAGGCTCTGCTGCCATATTTTGCATTTTTTCAAACATTTCAACAATTTAAATTGGTGTTTTTTTTTTTGATGGTGAGAGGACGACAAGCGGAGATCCTTGTGGAAGGAACTTTTTTGTTGTTCCCACGTGTACAAAGTGCTGACAGTTTTCTCCTTGTTCCACAGAGTACGAGACAGCCACGACACCTGGTACGGAGGCCACCACACCTGTGTCTGAGGAAGAGGAGGAGGAGGAAGATGATGACAGAGAGACAGATGCTGAGACTGTGAAGACAGAAGCTGAGGTAAAATAACTTACAGTTGTAACTGTTACTGTAACAGTGCTACAGCCCTCTATGTTTTGAAGCTTGGTCACATTGGGTGGCTGGGTGTTGGATACGTTACCAAATGAATGAAAACCAAGCAGATGGCAGGAGGGAAAGACTGGCCAAATGAAACAAGACAAGACACACTGACTGCGTACCCAAAGAGTTACACGTATGTTCTTAGAATCACATTGTATGTACTTATATTTAACTTGTTGCACCTCATCCTGTAGGATACCCTGGATACAGATGATGAAGCTACCACCATCAAAACAGGGTTTGAAGGGACATCAGTCATAGAAGAGGATGAGGCAGAGAGCACAGCAAAGGTGGGATGCTTTCTGTTTGTGTCTGAATAAAGCCACACCTCAAACACGTTAAAGATCCTACCATGCTTATCTACATCTAAGGGGTCTTTCCCGGAGTGTGAGTGGTTCAAACCTTTCAGTCCGGTCTAGTGCAACTTGTACTTACTGTATAAGACTGGTTTAATATTTATTTATCAATCTGATAAGCAAATGGGTAGTCCCTTCAGCCATTGAGGCTGATTTCCAAGGGAGCCCATGGAAACATGATACAAGAAAATAATGTAACATAGTGATATGCGTAAACTTGGTTTAACTGGTTATGTAGAACAAACAAACAAACC